ATTGCATGGATTATCTTATTGAGTGGGGGAGGGAAGGTTAACCAGTGCAGAGTAGATGCTCCATAAATACTGGACATTTGATAGTAGTTATCTCACTGAATTCTCACAGTCATCCTACATTATTAGATAGTATTATCCATGCTCTGTAGAAAAGGAGGCTGAATGTCAGTAAAGTAGCTTTCCCAAAGTCACACAGGGAGTGACTGGCATACCATGGTCTCAGGTGCTTGAACTCTGTGCATTGTCTCTGTCGCCCTTCCGTGTTGCCCCGGGCTGCAAAGGGAATAGTTGCTGAGAGTAACTGAGGACTGCTCATCAGACGGGTTCTGCAGCATCACCTTCCCTCACTCCCCTTTGCCCGGAATTGCCGTCGACTTGTGACATTGGTAGAAGTTTTTTCCCTGCTTCATTCCTCTGTTTTTAAGCGGTCGATGAACAATTTGCTCTGTGAATTTTTTAATTTTTAAGAAACAGCCTCATGAGTTTATTTGCTCAGCCATTCACTCAGCAGATATTTACTGAGCACCTATGACATGTTAGATACAGTTGTAAGGTCTGAGCACATTGCTCTGATCAAAGGCACTTAAGAACCTCTGCCCTCTTGGAGTTTATGTTTTATTATGTCCCTTACATCCTGCCAGCATGCCACTTTATTTTTGCAGCAATGATAATGACCTGGCTTATTTTTTATTTAAAATTAAAATGCTTTTTATTCTATTACAGGATATTAAATATAGTTCCCTGTGCTATACAGTCTATTTTATATATAGTAGTTTGATCTGCTAGTCTCAAACTCCTGATTAATTGCCTCCTCCTTCTTTGGTAACAGTAAGTTTTGTTTTCTATGTCTGTGAGTCTGTTTCTACTTTGTAAATAAGTTCATTTGTAGCATATTTTAGATTCCACATATAACTGATAACATGATATTTGTCTTTTTTTTCTGACTTAATTGGGCTTCCCTGGTGGCTCAGATGGTAAAGATTCTTCCTGCAGTGAGGGAGAACCAGGTTCAATCCCTGGGTCAGGAAGATCCCCTGTAGAAAGAAATTGCAACCCACTCCAGTATTCTTGCCTGTAAAATCCCATGGACAGAGGAGCCTGGCGGGCTACAGTCCATGGGGTTACAAAGAGTCGGACAAGACTGAGCTTTGAACCCTGACTTAATGCACTTGGTATTATAATCTCTAGGTTGATCCATGTTTTTGAAAATGGCATTATTTCATTCCTTTTTTTATGGATGAGTACTATTCCATTGTGTATATGTACTGTATCTTCTTTATCCACTTGTCTGTTGATGGACATTTAGATTGCTTCCATGTCTTGGCTATTGTAAATAGTGCTGCAGTGAACATTGGACTGTAAGTATCTTTTCGAATTAGAGTTTTCTCTGGATATATGACAAGGAATGGGATTGTGGGATCATATGGTAGCTCTAATTTTAGTTTTTTAAGGGACTTGATACTGTTTTCCAGTGTGGGTTACATCCCCACCATCAGTGTTGGTGCGGGGGGTTCCTTTTCTCCACACCCTCTCCTGCATTTATTTGTAGATGTTTTAATGATGGCCATCTGACCAGTGTGAGGTAATACCTCATTGTAATTTTGATGTGCATTTCTTTAATAATTAGCAAAACTGATCATCTTTTCTTTTGCTTCTTGGCCAGATGATGACCTGTTTGTTCGTGATGTTCTATTTAGGACAGTTTTGAGTAAGCAGTTCTGAGTGAGTGAGTGAAAGTCACTCAGTCGTATCTGACTCTGCGACCCCATGGACTGTACAGTCCATGGAATTCTCCAGACCAGAATACTGGAGTGGGTAGCCTTTCCCTTCTCCAGGGGATCTTCCCAATCCAGGGATAGAACCCAGGTCTCCCGCACTGCAGGCGGATTCTTTACCAGCTGAGCCACGGGGGAGCAGCTCTGATCTAGCCGTGACACAGTGTTTTACCAGAGGATGCCCTTTAGCTTTCATCCTTGACTTGGGAAACTGCACTGCTGTGTATCTTTAAGTTTGTTTTGTTATAACTTTTTATCTTAGGAAAGAAGAGTCATCAGTCCAGCTTTGAAATTTTGCAGCCAGTTAATGATACTAGTAATTGTGTGATTTGGCAACTGGATTTAATAATTTTGTAGTGGTGTTCAGAAACCTTTTCCTTTTCTTTTTTTTTTTTTTGAAAGTCTTCCCAGTGGCACAGCTCTGATTAGATATGCTCAATGTATGCTTATCTTATCAGGAGGGAAGATTAGGCATACTTTTATCAATAGTTTTTGCTGTCACCTCCAGGAAAATAAGTAATTCTAAGGAAAATAAATATTTAAATTATATTACCTCTGAGTAACTTATGATTTCTTCCTGACTCGTCCTGAAATCATACTGCATATTTAAAAAGAATCAAAAGTAAATATTGTTGTATTAAAAATTGTCATTTAAAGCTTTTAAAACCATCTAGTAGAATAGCAGTTAATCCAAAACCCCCAAATTCTGATTCTGTTCAGAAAAGTAAGTATTCAGGAATGAAAGATTATGTGTTCATATGGAAATATAACCTTACTTATAAATTGTTTTCATATAAGATGAGCAAATTCTTTGTGGACAGCAATACTGTCCAGATTCACTCTGTATGATTTTTATTATTAGAGTCTTTACTTTATTCTTGTACTGGAAACTTGCCAAGCTGCAGTTCAATGAGATATCTTAGGGGCATTCAGTATTAATTCAAGTGATCAACAGACTTGAAATAAATACTAGCATAGATGTTTAGGCATTTCATCCTCCCTACAGTCTTAGCTGTGAAAATCCTCACAGATTTTCATAGATAAAAATCTTACTTTAGGAAATGTTTGAAAGAGGAGAAGGAGTGGGAATGTCATGGTAGTTGAGTACTGGCACCAGTCAACTCTTTCAAGAATTTTTCTAGAATGAAGAAAAGGATTTAAACAAAGTATCTATTAAATGATATAGGCTTAGCCTGAAGAAAAATAAATTGTGAGGTAATTATGGACATGGAGTGTGATGGTGATATGACAACAATTTCTTGAATAAATTCCTATTCTCCACACCAGAAATATGAGTAGAAACAGGCTTTATTATGGGTTCAGAAGGCAGCAGGGCAGATCTGATTGAATATTTGTTGTTTGGTCACTAAGTTGTGTCTGACTCTTTGTGACCCCGTGGACTGCAGCACCCCAGGCTTCCCTGTCCTTCACTGTCTCTTGGAGGTTGCTCAAACTTATGTGCATTGAGTTGGTGATGATACAGACTGTCATTCAGCAGTGTGGAAGGGATCAGAAAGACATGTGAGCCCAGAGCTGGACAGAGAATCAGAAGGCTGGGTGTCAATGGAAGATGGCAGATTGGAGGTATCCTGAGTCAGAGCCTGCTGTGGAGCCAGGCTGTTCCGGGTATGGGTCTCCAGGAAAAGGACAGGTGACCATGGTCTCATGGCTGCAGGTTGAAGGCAACAGCAATTGCTGTTGTGATCCAGCCTGGGAATTAGACCTTGGCTTTGAGGATACACAGGCAGCTAAGGTTTACAGAGTTTAGGTGGGCCAGTGGTAGGGGAATAGCAGCAGGCATTGGAGGGATTTGATAGCTGCATGGCTATGGGTAAAGGTGCATGGATCAGGTGCTGACATGAAGACAGTGGTGGTTTAATTGCTAAGTCATGTCCGACCCTTGTGACCCCGTGGGCTGTAGCCTGCCAGGCTCCTTCCTCTGTACATGGGGATTCTCTAGGCAAGAATACTGGAGTGGGTTGCCATTTCCTTCTCCAGGGGATCTTCCTGACCCAGGAATCGAACCTGGGTCTCCTTCATTGCAGGCAGATTCTTTACCAACTGAGCTACGAAGACAGAGCCTGAACATCAGAGAAGACACAGGCAGAAAGGAGCCTTTTTTTGATCTGAGTTGTGTTTTCACAGATGATTTGACCCTAAATTCCTAGGAAGACCATGGGCACTGGGCAGCACTGAGGCTTAAATCAAAGCCCTAAAATCATGATTATTTATGAATTCTGACATTTGGAACTTTATCAAATAAAGCTTCATACCATTCAGAATAATGCCGAGGTCAAGATGAAGGACACAGACACAGTCCAGAGTCTAACAAAAATTAGCTCACTGGTCATGCACTCTTCACTGTTCTGTGCATTTATTGTTCCATTTAATCCTCTTAACAGCCCATTTAGGGAGGTAGAGATTGGCTGGCAGAGAGTCTACTTAAGCAATAAGATAATAGGAAGGAACAAGCTGTCGTGTTAAGGCATGGAATTGTGGAGTTCTCCAAACCCTAGCGGGCTCAGCTGGTAAAGAATCTGCCTGCAAAGTGGGAGACCTGGGTTCAGTCCCTGGGTTGGGAAGATCCCCTGGAGAAGTGAAAGGCTACCCACTCCAGTATTCTGGCCTGGAGAATTCCATGGACTGTATGGAATTCCATGGGGTTGTAAAGAGTCAGACACGACTGAGTGACTTTCACTTTCCAAACACTAGCAGTTCTCTGTGCTGAAGTTCTTTTAGCCTTTCTCATTGTTTATGGCCCATGGCTATTTGCTCTTATTGGCACATTTAACACATACCATTGGTCATGTGTGTTTGTTATGACCTATGTTCCTAAAATCCATCCAGGGCATCTTCCCAGACCTTTCCCACTCTGCTTGCTTCTCTTTACTGACTTTCTATAGCTTTTATTTATATGGACACATATTTGTTCAACTTCACTGTATTCTTTCTTCCTTTTTTTCTTTTAAATAGTTGTTTTTAAATTATTTAATATGTTTCAATTTTGCCTCCTCAACAAGTATCTTAAAGTTGTATTGCTTTTATATCTTCCACAGAGACCATACCATGGTAAATAATCCAGTAAATTTGTGTAATATATTCCATGCTTTCCTTTCTACCTTGGCTTTAATCAAAGTTTAATTGACTATTAAAAAACTGATTATAATACGTGATTCATTATATAATTCGTTATAATACATAATTTTTTTTTTTAAATTTTCACAGGGCAAACTCAGAAAATGAATCTCTTCCAGGCAGTAACAAGCGCCTTAGATAACTCATTGGCCAAAGATCCTACGGCAGGTAAACTTCCTTTGTGCTTGACTGTGGTTGTTGTTGTTTAGTTGCTAAGTCATGTCCAGCTGTTTTGCAGCCTATGGACTGTAGCCCACCAGACTCTCCTGTCCATGGGATTTTCCAGTGAAGAATACTGGTGTGGGTTGCCATCTCTTTCTCCAGGGGATCTTTCCGACCCAGGGATCGAACCCTCGTCTCCTGCGTTGGCAGGCAGATTCGTTACTGCTGAGCCACGAAGGAAGCCTCACTTGACTGTGGTAGTTGTGTTAATTCAGAATTGAAGATTTGCTGGAAATATTTGTCTGGAGCTCAATGAATAGCATTATATCTCCTTGAAATTTTTACAAGATCTGAACAAATGCTTAAGGCTAAATAATCAAATTATGATATTAAACACATTTTTATCCTCTTATTATGAATTAGTTCTCATGTATATCTGACACTGACATCATTAAATTAACTTTCTTCCATGGTATGTGTGGTCCTGATAATACATTAACATAATACCTTTTATAATATGTGCTGCTGTTTCTCTAGCATATAGAAAAAATGGAAAATATCACTTTGTTCAGCTATTTATTTATTGATACAAAATGAGAGTTTAGTTCTGTGCTTTCGTTTGGGATACATTATCATTCAACTTGTAAGATTTTTTTGGAAAATAGCTTTAATATTGATAATTAACTTTATAAGTACCTTATCTTATTAAATTGAATTATTGATATAAAAAGGGTTTTATTGCTGTGTGTTTTCTAAATTAGATTGACTTGACTTTATGTGTATATTTAGTATACCTTGGGTTTCCCCTTGAGAATCTCTGGTTTAAAGGTCAAGTGGAAAGCAGGTTAGTTTTCAGGAGAAGTGAGAGCTGGACTTGCTTTGTTTTGAAAGACAATGACTGATATAGTCACATAGATAAGGGTGAATTATTTTCTTGAGGTCTTTGAAGCTGGTGAGGTGCATTAATGGGACTAGAATTTAGCTTTGTGAACATCCCCTTAGTCAGTTTAATTTGCCTTGCCTATGTAGCACCCCTGAGTTTTCACCAGAACTATTCTTTGCCTTGCTCTTTACATTCCATTATACTTGCTGTCTATGTCACTCTCCTACTTGTGACTGACTATTCTGTCAGCTTGAAATGCTGTTCCTTCAGCTTCTTCAAATTGCTGACTCTTATTGTATATTGTATATTAAAAAAAAAAAATCAGGGGACTTCCCTGGTGGTCCAGTGGTTAAGACTTCGCCTTTCGATGCAGGGGGTGTGGGTTAGATCCCTGACTGGAGAGCCGAGATCCCACATGCCTTGCAACCAAAGAACCAGAAACATAAAAACAGAAGCAATATTGTAACAAATTCAATTAAAGACTTTAAAAATGATCCACAGGATTCCTTAAAAAAGGGAGGAATCATTAACGCTCCCCACTCCCAAGCCAACAGAAACACCCCTCAAAAGCCACTGCCCAAGGGACACATGTGCCTAGAGTGTGAGTCACAGCTCTGCCTCTTGCTTTCTGGCTTGTTAAGTTACTTGACTACTTTTCGAGGTTCCAGATTAGTGTTTCTTTCTCAACAGAGGCTCCTCCCCTTATATGTCACACTGTCTGGAGACCCCGTCGGCTGTTACCGCTTGTGCGGTCAGCAGCCCACCCACTGGACGAAGACCAGGCATGTCGCTCTGTGTCTGCAACACATAGGACAACAGAATCATCCAGTCCAAAGTGTCACTCGTGTTGAAATTGGGAAACCTTGATTTAGATCTCGGAGTCCATTTCTGTTTTCTAATTTCATATGTAGACATTTACATTACTTATTTCTCACTGTTAGAATCATTTAGGAATGATTAGATACAACGTGTTCTTTATTGTTTTTCAGTAATATTTGGTGAAGACGTTGCCTTTGGTGGAGTCTTTAGGTGTACTGTTGGCTTGCGAGACAAGTATGGTAAGTTAGTATCTTTATACATGAACAGTATTCCTGTAGAGTTTACACGTCTTGGCAGTGCAAAGTATGCCTGTTAAGATGTTTGCCATGTCCTTATTGCATCATCAGATTCCTTTTGTTTCCACAGCCACCCCCAGACTGCTTTGGCCTAGATTTCACTAAATGTGTTCTAACTGTAGCTTCCCTCTGATCTAGTTCGTATTATGCGTATTACAGATTCCAAAGTGTTCTTCATTAAATGTATTGTTGGTCATGTCATTCATACATCTGGGGATCTTCAGTCTCTTACTGCTGCCCTACTTTTGCCAATTCCAATCCCATTCACGGTTCTGCCCTATTGGTCACTGTTCATCTTTTATTATCTGCATTAGGATTCTCCAGAGAAATCGAACTATTAGGATATACCTATGTGTGAGTAGATGTGTGTGTGTGTGTGTATAAAATATACCTGTATATGTATATGTTTTTATGTCTATATGTGCTGTAGTATGCTTAGTCGCTTCAGTCATGTCCAACTCTGTGACCCCATGGACCTTGGCCCGCCAGGCTCCTCTGTCCATGGGATTTTCCGAGCAAGAATATTGGAGTGGGTTTCCATGCCTTCCTCCAGGGGACCTTCAGGACTCAGAGATCGAATCAGCATCTCCTGTATCTTCTGCAATGCAGGTGGATTTTTTTTTGCCTCAGCCTCTGGGGATGCCCCATCTATATATATTTTTATACCTGTACATACTTCCCAGATGGTGCTAGTGGTAAAGAACCCGCCTGCCAAGGCAGGAGACACGAGAGATACGGGTTCGATCCCTGGGTTGGGAAGATGCCCTGGAGGAGGAAATGGCAACCCATTCCAGTATTTTTGCCTGGAGAATCCCATGGACAGAAGAGTTGCGGGTTACAGTCCATAGGGTCTCAAAGAGTCAGACATGACTGAGGTGACTTAGCACAATACAATCTATATTGAGAGAGCGAGAATCAGAGATTTATATTTTAAGGAATTGGCTCACATCATTGTGGGGCTGACAAGTCGGAAATCTGTAGGGCAAGCCAGCCGACTAGAAAACCAGGCAGTCTTCAGGACAAATTTCTTCTGGTTTGGGAAACCTTAGTCTTTTCCTTTGGAGAAGGCAGTGGCAACCCACTCCAGTGTTCTTGCCTGGAGAACCCCCTGGACGGAGGAGCCTGGTGGGCTGCGGCCTATGGGGTTGCACAGACACGACTGAGCAAATTAGCAGCAGCAGTCTTCCCCTTTAAGGCCTTCAAGTGATTGGATAAAGCCCATCCACATTAAGAAGGATAATCTGCTTTACTTAGATGTTAATCACATCTAAAAATACCTTCTCAGAGTATCTAAACTGGTATCTGACAGCCACCTAGACAGTTGGACACCTGTCATTAACCATCACAGCACCCTTCCATGTTTCATCCCCACCGATCAGTGCCTTCTGCCTAGCATGTGATCCATTTCTGCCCATTGCTATCACTTGCTTCATTCAGCTCAGACTTAAAGCCATCAGAGGAAACATGCTGGCCCATTCTAGCATCCTCACTATGGATTTGCTCTGTAAGGAATGTGTCCCACTGCCTTGCTGTTGCACTGCCTTCCTTGGAGGTGCTTTGACCTTTCATTTGTTTACTCAGCCTTATCTAATCTGGAAATCAAAGCAGTTGAGTTTGGGTAGGAGTTGACACTTGCCTTTCTTCTGGCCTTTACCACTGCCCTGTAAAGCTCGTGTGGGTGGAAAAAGCAGTGAGGGGCCCTAAGAATTTTTTTTTCCTCCCATTTGTTCCTTCTTGTTCCTCTCTTCCTCTGATGTTATACTTGCATCTGAAACCCTAGCTGAGTCCAGGAAATCACGTGTTCCCTCCCACTTGTCAGGAGCGCTCACATTGTTCTTTCCCCTTCCCTTTTGCAGCAGTTTCATTTGGGTCCTGTCCATCTGCTTTCTCCTCACTGTCTGTTTTAACAGAGGTGAGATTGTTGGCTCCATCTCAGCCATCTCAAACTATCTCAGTTAGCCCCAGCTTATTCTGACTCCTAGAGACTTTAGATCTTCAAAAAGAAATCAAAGGGGCTTCCCTGCTGGTCCAGTGGTTGGAAATTTGCTTCCCACTCAGGGGATGTGGGTTCTGTCCCTGGTTGGGGAATTAAGAGTCCACAGGCTGTGGGGCGACTCAGCCCTGTGCCCTGTGACTGCTGAAGCCTGCAAGCTCTAGAGCCTGTGCTCTGCAACAGGGGAAACCTGTGTCCTGCAACTAGAGGAATGAAGACCCAGTGCAGCCAAAAAAAAAAAAAAAAAAATTAGAAACCTTTATGCATTTGATTTCTAAATGCGTATGCATTGTGGAACATTTGGAAGATGTAGAAAAGCATAAAGAAGAAAATAAACATTGCCCAAGCCAGCAGAGATAAACTTGAGAAAACCACTAGACATATCTTGATATTATATACACTTCAAGGCCATATTTGAATATATTTATATGTATTAATATTTAAAACATAGAATTAGACTTTTTTTTCCTTTAGGATTTTTATCTCTGTTTACATTGCCCATTTGTTGTTGCCTGGTGTCTATTTTGTCCAGTAGGGACCTTAGCATTTTAATCATGTGTGTGTGTGTGCCTGCTCAGTCTCGACTCTTTGCAACTGTATGGACTGTAGCCCTCCAGGTTTTTCTGTCCATGGGATTCTCCAGGCAAGAATACTGGAGTGGGTTGCCATTTTCTTCTCCAGGGAATTTTCCAGACCCAGGGATTGAACTGGCGTCTCCTGTATCTCCTGCATTCTAGGCGGATTCTTTACTGCCGCACCACCAGGGAAGCCTAGCATGTTAACCATAGTTGTTTTAAATTCGCAGTCTGATAATTCCCGCATCCTTGCCACATCTGGGTCTGATGCTTGCACTGTCTCTTCAAATTGTGCTTTTTGCCTTTTGCTGTGCCTTGTTATTCTTTCCTTGTTAGCCAGACGTGATGCATTGGGTAAAAGGAACTGCTGTAAGTAGGCCTTTCGGAATGTGGTGGTGAGGTGTTTGTGGGGTAAGGGACAGTGTTCTATAATCCTCTGAGTCGGTCTGTCTTTTAAGTGAGCCTGTGCCCCTGGACCATGAACTTCCCAAATGTTTCTCAGCTTTTTCTCTCCACCTCCGTTAGAACTGGGTGGCTAGAGAGAGCTGGAGTTGGGTCTTTTCCTGCCCCGAGGTCAGTGGGGTTCCGATGCTTCACAGGAGGCTGGGCTCTGGTTAGCTAGCGGGTTTTCCTTGAGGAGGGAGTGCTCAGGCTTGTTTCAGAATGGTTCCTCCTTTCCTTCCCTTGTTGGAGGCAAGAGGGGATTTTTCTCTGATACTTGCTGTGGAAACCTGATGGAGCTCCTGAAGCGAAACTTCACAAAACGGTATGGGGGCCCCTATGACTGGGCTTCTGAGTTTTTAACTCTCAGACTTGTCCTCACGGAAGCTCCAACTGTTCCTCTGCTGTAGCCCAGGTTTCCTGCCCCACTTCTGGTCTCTGCTCTGCACAGCCGAGAGTCCCTGCGTTCTCCCATCTGCCTCTCCATTCTTGGGGACGGCCGTTTGCTCTGTGGCCTTGCTTCTCTAGCTGGTCCAAGAAAAGTTGATTGTACAGCGTGTCCCGCTTTTTACTTCTTGTGAGGACTGCTTGGCGACTTCCAAGCTTCTTCCGAATTTCCATCGCCAGTCTGGACCTCGGGCCTGAGCGTCCCCTCTGTGTCCTGCCCCTCAGCCCACTGCAGTCTTCACTGTGGTGTTCCCGTCACTTCAGGCTCAGCGTTTCCATGCTCATGTTTTCAAACTCGGCTGAATTTATTATATTCTCCCAGAAAATCCACACCTCCTCCTACATTTCTTAGCGAATATACCATTGTCCACTTGGTTACTCAGGCCGGAAGACCTAGGAGGTCCTAGTCTCTTCCCTCTTTCTCATTCGCCACGTTCATTAGGTCCTCTGATTTTATCTGCAGAGTTTGTCTTTACTGTGGCCTCTCCTTTCCGTCCTCACTGCCCTGGAGGCTCTCTTTGGATCCGAATTGTCTCTGCTTGGATAGTTGCCTTGCTTTTCTTAGTAATCACCCTCCCTCCTGTCCCAACCTTGATGTCAGTGTGGTCAAGCTAAAATGTGCGTTTCTTTGCAGAATACACAGGAGATTTTGAGATCTGCCCTCTTCCCACTCACCTGGCCTCATTTCCTTTATTAAAACTGAATTATTTCCCCTTAAGTCTGTGTGTTTTTCATCTCTCTTCCTTTGCACTTGTGGTTTGGATCTCCCCCCCACCCCAATTCCCTGGGGAAACTCCTCTTTTACCTTCACAGGTCTTCTTTTTAAGGCTCTTCCTAAAACAAAACAACCTAATCAAAAAATGGGCAAAAGACTTCAACAGATATTTCTCCAAGGAAGACATACAAGTGGCCAAACAGTACATGGAAATATGTTCAATGTCACTAATTCTTAGAGAAATGCAAATCAAAACTACACTGAGATATCACCCACCTCACATGGTCCAAATGGGCAACATCAAAAAGTCTACGAATAATAAATGCTGGAGAGAGTGGGGAGAAAAGGGAACCCTCCTACACTACTGGTAGGAATGTAAACTGGTACAGTTACTATGGAGAATGTGAAGTTTCCTTAAACAACTAAAAAGTATTTTTTACTTTGATCACTGGTATTTCCCCGGTGATTCAGTGGTTAAGAATCTGCCTGCCAATGCAGGGGACATGCGTTCAACCCCTGGTCTGGGAACTAAGATCCCAAATGCCATGGGGCAGCTAAGCCTGTGGGCCACAACTACTGAGCCTGTGCTCACGCACAGCTAGAGAAAGCCTGTATGCCATAACTCCTGAAGCTCACGCGCCCTGGAGCCTATGTCCTGCGACAAGGGAAGTCACAGAAATGAAAAGCTGTGCACTGCAAGTAGAGAGTAACGCCTGCTTGCTGCAACTAGAGAAAGCCTGCGTGTAGCAATGAAGACTCAGTGCAGCCAAAA